CACACACACACACACACACACACACACACACACACACACCAACCATTTCAGATGTTGTAGCAGACAATAGGCTGACAGAGGCTCAGCAGCCTTCCAGCCCTGACAAAGCTCACTGTGAAGAAGAAGACCAAACCCTGCAGCACATCCTCCCAGCTGTCTGCGTGGACTTCTACTTCCTGTCACCTGTCAGAGACACTTCCTGTCACCTGTCAGAGACACGTCAAACTAAAGTGTTGTATCAGTCAGACACACAGTTAGGGCTGGGCTTGTGTTTCACTCAGAATGAAGAAGATGTCTGGTTCTGATTAGGTTTTTAATCAGCTGCCTTAAAGCGATGTTGACTCATGTCCATGTGTCCATGTGTCTCCTGTCCCATGTCCTACCTTTGTCTTTGACCTTTTCAGCTCGTCAGGATCTTCATTATTTTCATACTTGAACTTCATATTTGAGTTAAAATGTGTTTCCTTCAACAAATGTGCCATTTTCCACAGTGAGCCAAGTTTTCTGAAGCTTTGCCTTCAGATGATAGGAAACCTGTCAGTGTGTAGTGTGTGTCACCTGACACATCTACTGTACCACTTCTGCCCAGTGTTTTTACTCTCCCAGTACCACAGGTGCACCTTACAGGTAATTCAATGTTAGACTGACAGGGTTTCTCCTTTCCTCTCTGTTGTTATTAAAATGAGTTTTTTATGTCAAACTCTGGTCTTTGTGTTCTTCCACACTAAACTTTGTACTTTTTACCACTTTGTGTACTTTCTGTGCTTAGTCCTGCTCTTAGGCATTCATTTGAAAACAAATTCACAGATCATGCTTGCCACTAGAGCAGGGCTATTCAACTGGTGGCCCATGGGCCACATCTGGCCCACAAGAGACCAAAGTTTGGTCCACCAATTGGTTCATTCATCTTTTAAGTCCAAACCCCAGGTTTCTACTTTAATTCCTCTTTTAAACACAAGCTGTGTTTCCACTGACCATGAAAATGCACAAATTAGAATTTCAAAAATAAATTTGCTCAATGGAAACAYGTCAATTAAAAAAATTACGTTTTTCAACAAAATGTTTTTGCACCAGGATGAGGTGGTTTTTCAGCCGTGTCAAAATTGGTGTTTTTCACAAAACTACAATGGAAACACTTTTTTCAC